GCGGTCGACGCCAAGACTCCGCCGGCGCTGAGCACAAATCCGATCAGCACATGACGGCGGTAAGGGGCCACGTCCAGCAGGGCAACCAACTTCGGAAATGCCTCGGAATCGGACAACCAATCCACGCTTTCGATCGCGCCCTGCGGAGGCAGGAACACACTTCGTAGTCGGTCGAGATCAGGGATCATCGACTCTAGAGATGTTGGTGGAGAGTGGTCATTGCCGACGGCTAAGATCCGCGCCATGCACGTGCACGCGGCAAAACGCAGCGTGGCGATCTTCTCGCAGCACTGCTGTACAATCCTGCCGATACAGTCGGTGACGGTGGTGCGAAAGACGAGTGGTGACGACGAAGAGGTAAAGATGGTCATGGACGAGAACCCGCTGAACAGCTCTTCGAGACAGCAAACGGCGGATTGGCGCACGACCTTTCCCGCATCACCACGCATATCGATAGTGTATTCAATGCACGCGTCCGCGTAACACCGGAACATACCGTCTACATCGACCCCGCAGCTCAAGAGCTGAGGCAGACCAGCAGCCAACACTATGGTTTTTAACGCAACAAGACACTGCTTCCTGCCGTCTACCCAGGCCAGATTCTGACGCGTGATCTTAGTTCCGGCAATAAGACCGTCCGTCACAAGTCGCAGTCGCTTTTCGATATACCAGTTCGAAACGTTCCCCAGCGCCAAAGCGCCGCCGATCCTCCTCGCCTCGGTAGTGTTTTCCTTCACATCCGATAACCACGCGTCTACCGAGCTGTCCATTAAAGCCTGAAAGTGGGGGGATCCATTTTCGCCGTAGTTACATAAGCTTTTTAGCGCATCCGCGGACCTGTCTCTAATTTTATCATCCTTGTGACAGAGATTTTCACGGATCAGCTTCAGCCACAGGTCAAGCTGGGCATCGGAGGCCGGACAGCGTCGGCTGGACAGATTATAAGCAAATTCGTTGAACGCCTTTCGCAAAACGGCGTTGTTCAATGCAGCAAAGTAGCCGGCATGATAGAACCTGCTCGGTAAGGAGACTATGCGCCGGTACGTGTCGCTTTCGTAAAACTGCTGTTCTAATGATGGCGCCTTACGACTGAGACTCTCTGTCAAACCAACAACAGTGAATCCGAGGGCATAGAGGGCACCCTGTCGGCTGAACGAGTCATTCACCTCAATGGTGGCCAATAACTGCTCGAGCACCACGTCACGAATGTAATCGAGGTCGTATGGCGCCAGTAAGCCCAGTGCTTGGGAGGCCAAGCGGCGAATCTCTTCGTCCCAGTGCGACACCTTGTACTTCACTAGATGGTCGATGAGCGATCTTGTATACTCTACAAACTGGGCTACGAACACCGAATATTCAAGGTAGCAGCTGTGACGTTTTCCAACGGCAAAGAAATCGGCTTTGGTAAAAATCTCGATTCCGTGAGGAAAACTGCCCTGCCTACCAACGTGCTCCTAAAAAACATCCGCCAGACATCATGCACAACAGTGAGCCAAAAAAGCTTAACTCCATCCCGACCAGCGATAACTCAGAGTTAAATACGAGGAGGTACCCTGCTTCCAGCGCTTTCGGTAGCCGACCAAATATTTCGGCTGAGAAAGGAAGGGACACCCTTTGCAAAATAATCGTTGCAGTTTGCCTCGGTCCTGTTATACAGTATGGCCACCGTAGTTCTAACAGAGGATCAAGTACGATCGATGAACAGCACATTGCAGCAGACTGCGATAGACAACGAGAGATAAATGACAAAATCACGTAATAAATTAACTTATTCTTACGGGCACGGCAAACTTTTGCAGATACAGAGAGTAGAAAAATCGATGAAGCGACGTCCGTCACTCCAATCCAAGAGCTCTTCATTCAGAACCGAAGCATGGCAGACGTTTACGATGAGATGAACAGCATGGATGCACAACATAGTAGAAAAGACGCATTAAATTATCCTTCATACAATGCCTTCTGGCAAGTGTTGAAAAGCTGAAATTCCACAGACATCCCAAACAAAAGACAACGGGAACCGCAGAAGATCTCTAACGCCTACGCTATAATCCATTTGAATATTTTCAGCTTGGAGTAAATAGCGTGAAAATTGATAACAATAATTCAACATGCAAAGTCGTTTCGAAGTCGAAACTTTCGTGCACCTTATGGTGGACCGACAGTGAAACGTACGGGAGAGCATGAGACTGTGATATACTGTGCATTCCCTCGAACGCGACGGGAACCACGAAGATTTGACATGAAACACTACCACTTGAACCCCAACATTGCATATATCGTGATGCTCCCAGAAGTTTACAGACTCACCATACTCCACAAGCTTGGATTTGACACATTTCGATGTATTTTCGTTTTTATTTCTTAGCAGTATTATATCCTGCCTTCACAGTCAGTCAGTTTTGATCATCACATGTTTGCGGGATGCGGAGGCACACATGTCAGGCAGTCTCCCCGGTTTGAGCTTCGACAGAAGATAATCCGAATCTGAGTCTGAAAGCAGAGTAGAGACACTTGCCCGGGTCATTTTAGTCCGTCCCCGGGTCTTCGGTCGGCTGGATGAGTAGGTAGCAACCGTTTCGCTTTCCCTTCTGGAAATATTCCAAAAATGCGCCAAAACTATCGTTGTTGTGACTTCTCAGTCAGAAGAAACAGCGGCTGTGTACCAAGGTTCGCTTGGACATCTGTACTTAGGACCATATCGAGACACCTGAGCCCAGCGAAATGTCTCTGACAACCCATTTCAACCGGTTGTAATCAGGATAGAATTATTCAGTTATGGCCGAAGGTGAACACTGGGATGAAGATCGACTTGAACACCTATCTGTTTTAGTCACAACGGCTCGAGCGAATTCACTAGAATGTCACTGGTCATTCCAACGATTGCCGATCGATATGTTTCTCCAATTTTCACCATCAGTAAACACGACCCCAAGGTACTTGAACCTCTCCACCTCCTCCACTACTTAACTGTTTATCTCAAGAGAACAACGGGCAGGAGAACAAAAAACACTAGGCTTTACATTTCAGATACGTTCACATCCATGCCGACCACGTGACATTCGGCTGCGAACCTTTCCAGAGAACGCTGTAGATCAGTTTCAGAATATGCTAATAAAACAAGGTCACCTGCAAATAGCAACCTTCTCGTCTCCACATCTCCTACGATGATTCCCTCATCGCTCTGGCTGCGCCTGAATATTCTATCCATGTACAACACAAGCAGGAGAGGAAACAGAACGCAGCCTTGGGAGAGACCAGTGCCAACGCTGAAAGGTTTCGACTTAACGCCACCCACTCTGACGCAGCACTTGGCTATCAACACAGTGACTTGATGGCTCGTAGTAACCGGCCACAGATCGCATATGTCTGTAGGCATGCCGTGCTGCTTTTTGAAAAAACGCGCTATCTACCATAACAAAGCTTAAAAAAACTGTTATCGTACCAACTGCGAAGCGATTAGCCTATATGCATGCGGCAAAGAAGTATGCTACGAAGATTGCGTCTTTTAGTGCAATATCTACAAAAACCTTGCACAAAGAAGGATTGGTGCTTGGAGGAAAAGTGGCCAGGTGTAAAAATGGCGTGTACGAGTAACAAACATGACG